GTGTGCCAGGCTCAGAGGCAGTCCAGCTGCCGGAAGCCTCCAAGAGAAATCTGGCCGAGAAAATGTGGGGTGTACTAAGCACCTCACTACCGAGAGCCTTGGAGGAGGCTTAGATGATTGGCAGAGGTTTGGTGTTGACTTAACGATAAGCACAAAGAACATTAAGTAAAAACAATGATTACATCCAGGAAAGACACCACCCCCAAAATGTACCAAAAGAGAACAGTAACCACAGTGTATTTCATAGCTCAGTTCTGAGTGTTGTGCATCATCATGGTGTAAGCACCGGAGAGTGATCTAACTGAACGGTTATATAACAGTCCTTGGAGGACAGGGAGATGGACATGGGACGGGGAAGATGGACATGGGACGGGGAAGATGGACATGGGACGGGGAAGATGGACATGAGACGGGGAAAGAGTTAAATAAAGAAAAGCTGAGCCACCCCGAAGGGACACCAAGTGTGAGCTTCAGGTGTGCAGAGGCAAACCCCAAGCATCAGGTAAGAGCTGAAGTGGCTGACCCCAGAGAGGGGCGCGGGATTGGGGGGTCGCTCTGCTAGGGTAGCCTGATTCTTGGCATGTATCCATCTTCTTGATCTAAAAACTACCCCCAAAATTAAAAATAATAATAAAAAAAAAGCACACTTCCACCCCTTCTCCTTCAACTCTGTTCCACCCTGCTGATTTCTCAAGAGACTGAATAACTGTCAGGACTTTTTATTGTGAAATCTTTGGGAGTGAGTCCCTTGAAAGCTATTCTGAGCAGAGAGCCCAAGCCAATAAGTAGACCTCAGAAAGGCTCAGAAAAACCGGGGATAGACAGAGAGCAAGATGAAACTCAGGAGCACAGGCTTCCCAACTTCTTCGCACGTTTACAGCACAGATGCTCAGATAAATGTGGCAGAGAGCAGGACCTCGCACTCACCATCCATCTGCAGGAGGTTCAAAGAGGGCAAGAGGGTGGGGAAAGGTCCAGTGTGCAAGCTTCCACCAGGCCGGTCCTGAGACCCCAAGACCTTCCCTCACCGGCTACCTCTACCATCCCAGACTAGAAACTAGAAACTGGCCACAGACGCTACTGTTCATTCATGTTTATGGAAAGCAAGATCGTTATTTACAAGCACAGACACACTGAGCTAGTTCACTTTTAAAGACACCAAATAGAGCAGCAAACACAAAGAAAACAGAAATTTCTGAGCAAAAAAAAAAAAAAAGGACCACAGACAGGCCCAGCAAGGCATTCTGTCATCAGACTTTCCCGGGGACCTTCTGGGGGCTCCAATGGGCAGACCCTTCCCAAATCAACCAACCCACTTTTCACATGAGTGAACACAAGTTAAGAAAACAGAACTTTCTTCCCAGACCACTCAAGCCCCTGAGCCAAGTTACAGCAGTGCCCGCTGCTCCCTGGGGCCCAATTCTCAAAGCTTTTTCCAAAGACGTGTTCTGGGCAGTGTGACTCACGCGGCGACATACTGGAGCTGCTGAGGGCACTCGGACACTCGGCCTTCACCTCCCAGGGGCCTGACTGGTCTTCTCGGGACGCAAGCTCTCCGCTCCGCACAGGGCTCGACAGACACCAGGAGCAGCGTCAGTGTGACTTATAAGTCCCCAAAGGCCAGTCTGAGGCTCGGGGACCACCAGTGATAAAGTCCCTGACATCCAGGAACAAGGGGGGAGGAACAGGGACAAAAAGGGACGTGGGTGGAAAGAGCTGCTCTTCCTTCTGGGAGTAGGGCCGGCTTGCGTTTTTGTTCTAAAACGAACATTGGGGAGAAAACGAAATGATGGTGATTATGGGTGACATTTTTTTTTAATGCCCTTACTTGGCAAAATTGAAAAGTTGGAGTCTCTAGTCCTTCCTCCAAAAGAAATTGGGGGGCGGGATTTTATTGGACTATGGGAAGTCCAAAGTCGGGGATACAAGACAACAGAGAGAACAAGGCCAAGTGTGGCCAACCACAGCCGGGTGTCATTTGAGGTCTATGCTGCCTGGGGAGCCTCACCCTCACGCACTTCTGTGCACAGCCCATGACCAAAAAGTGCTCCCGTCTTTTCAAGAAATCTGGGTGCCGGGACAGGGCCTCTGTCTCCCAGCACCTGAAGGTGGCTCTTCTAGCCACAGAGGGACAGGCTGCACCCCCAAACCCCCCCACCAGCATCTTTGGCTGGATTTAAATGCTCCCTTCCCCACCCCTCCTCTCCCCCCCAGTCCCTTGTCCGTTAAGTGCTCCCCGAGGATCACCGGTCAGCAAGTCACCCCAGCTCCTCCACTCCTGCTCTGCGTTCCCTCGTTCCCTAGTGCGGCAAGGCTCGGCGCCCTCAGTTCATGAGTGGGGTGCTGCGGCTCAGAGCCAGTTGGAAAGGTGAAAAGAAACCAAAAACATTGTTTTAAGAAAGCCACATACAAAAAAGTCAATGTGATCCCAAGAAACATTTATATTTCTGCATAGGGGGAAAAAAATCTGGAAGGCATAAGGCAGAACGGTCCTGGCCGTCCCCAGAGGTGGGCTACCAGATGGTTTTTATCAGCGTTACTGTCTTGCTGCTTCTCTGTGTTTTCCAGTGTTGCTACAATGGTGGTTGCAAGCTAGATGAAAACCGTGCCCATTAGAGGGATGCAGCAAGACAAGCCCATGAATCTTGCTCCAGGCCCTGTTTAGTTTCCAGCCAGGAATCAATGAACAAGCCGCCTCAGGCTCCCAGCCCTGCCCTGCGGGCGTGGCCTGCCGCCGCCCAGGTGTGGTCCCTCATCCTTGGGCCCAGCAGTGCACAGACCCCAGGCCCCCACCCACCCCTGCCTCCACCCCTGTCGGTCGGTTGGTCGTTGCCAGTCTGCCCCTCCTCCATCCTCAGGTCTGACTGCCCCCAGCCCCTACCCAACAAGACACCCTCACCCCACCCCCATGAAGAGAGGGGTGGGCCGGAGGAGGACAATGCCTCACCCCTGCACGGTCTGTTACAGGGCGCTGCGGTACCGTCTGTTTCACAGATAGGAAATGAACGCAGAGCCGGGAGATGTGTCATCATGGAGAGTGATGGAGCTGGGCTTGGTCTCGGTTCTCGCGATCTTACTCCAGTGCCAGCCTGCCCACCCTCACATCTCCTCCCCCAGATGCCAGGCCAAGTGCCAGGGCCACCAGCCACCACAGGGTGGCATGCTCCCTGGTGCCCCCAGGCACCCTGCAGCTCCAGGCCCCTGCCAGCACCAGCCCAGCCCAGAGAAGCCCATGAGAAGTGGAAGGCAGGGCCTGGGGCCAGGGTCCTCCTGCCACCACCTGGCCCCCACTGGGAGAAGGTTGACCCCTCCCGTGTGTAAAGCTCCAGTGAGGAGTGTTTGCAATGACTAGACTGCATGGTCTGAGTCTCCTCCCAGGCTGGACACTCAGATGTTCTGGGTCTGACCAGTGGCGTGGGGGAGGCAGACGCCTCCAGCTGCCCCTCACCTAGGGTCCTGAGGGCCGAGGCTGGCCTTGAGAGAAGTCCCACCGGGGGTGGAGGCATGGTTCAGCTTGGGGGGTGGGGGGCTGGGGCATGTGTGTGTGCTGAGGGGATCCACACACATGTCATACTTGGGCACATTCACCTTGCTGAGGGCTGTCTCCTTGCCATCCCCCCCCCTCCACACCCCATCTCATCCCTTTGTTTTCTCCGCCTGCCTCTGTTTCAGCCCCTGGCACCTTCCCACTCCTGCCGGACACCCCCGCCCCGGCCCTGGCCCCATTCCAAGAGATGCCCACAGTTCTCGGAGCCCGTCTTGTTCCAGACAGGAATGAAGATGGCTTTCACTGCACACCGACAAATTCAGACCATTATTCCACTGAGATCCAGATAAACCGGGAAGCCTGACACAGCCATGATTTGCTAACCTGACAGCGCCTCTCTATGCGCGGCCCACATTTTAATTAAAAATCTCAGGAGTGACTGGGAGTTCTTCTATTGTGCACCTCTGGGCTCTTCCAGACTTCTTGGGGGAGGGGCAGGATCTGTGCTCAATAAGGGCACAGGCTCAGAGAGGGTCCTGAAAGCACGGGGGTGGAGGTGTTCCCCCAAGCACAACTCCGGGGTGCAAGGAGCCCTGAGGAGCCAGTGCAAACTCCCTGTCACCCCCCACCTCAGCAGGTGAGGAAATGGGGGCCCAGAGTGATTTGCGCAAGGACTTCTTCATTGCAAGGGCAGTGTGTGTGTGTGTGTGTGTGTGTGTGTGTGTGTGCGTGCGTGCGCGCGTGTTGTGTGTGTCCTGGGCATGTGGTTATAGGGTTCAACACCAAAAAAATGGGAAAATTCAGAAGGGGGATATGAGCATTCAACTCTTATCGAACAGGCGCACTCAGGGAGGGTTGACGGGGGAGAGAAGAGGAAGCTTGGGGGTCCTCTCTCGTCCTCACTCCTGCAGGCAGGTTGGCAGGGCTGTCCCCATGCTTCAAGTCTTACTCCTGATTTCTCGGGGCAGAGCCTGAGAAAAGTCTCCATCCTTCTAGAAAAGCCCTAGCCTGCAGAGGTATCCTGAGCAGAAAAAAAAGACTGAGGAGGGGGCCTGGCAGATGGCCAGCGTGGCAGCTAGGCTTCCCGAAGGCCTGAGTGCTCTTCCTACCAGCCTACTTCGGGGCACAAAAGCCAGCAAGGGGAGCTGGCCCGTGTAGGGTTGCTCGGTGGCTGATGGATTAGAGGGGTAGCGAGAAGCCTTGGGGCAGGCAGCATACCGGGATGAACAACAGGGCTGGCGAGAGGCTCCCGCTGAGGCCGCCACCTTCAACTACGAGAAATGAGCAAGTCGCAGCACCTCAGCATCTCACCTGAAAGGTAGTGACACTGTCACACCTGTCCTGCCTCTGCCATGTGAGGAGTGTCTGGAAGCCAGCACCCCCACACCTGGAGGCTCTCGAGCCCCTTGGTCAGCACCAAGTGCCCCTCTCAACCTTCAGCTGCTCGGCAGATCCCAGCAACCGGGCACCCGCCCCCTCCCCCATTCACCCACACAAAGCTTCGTGGACTCACCCTCAGGGCCGGCAGGGAGCTGACCTGGTCCATGGTCAGTGTGGCCTCCTTGTAGTATTTCCCAGGAGGACAGAGCTTCAGGAAGGTGTCATGGATGCTGAGGAGAGAGGTGTAATGGGCTGAAGGCTGGGAGGTGGGCAGGAAGTGCCTGTCCTGCCGGCTCTCTACGGAGGAAGGGGGCTCCGGATGGATGGACACAGAAAAGGCAGTTAGGCCTCATTCTCCCCTTCTAGAAACATCCCTGCACCGAGGCAGCCAGTGTGCCAGACACCGAGGGAGGTGCAGAGATGAACCAGGCATGAGGAGAAGCATGTGACCGTGCCCCCTGGCCTGGAACACGCTCTCTGAGTGTTAGTTCTAGACATCAGAGCTGAAGGACATCTGTCGCCATTCCATCCAGGCCTGCACTTAAAAATGGAGAAACCAGCAGGCCACTGTGGGAGCCAGGCTGCCTCAGGCCGTCAGCCCAGAGGAAAGGGGGCTCCCTGGGCGCCAGCCAGGGTTAGCATCCAGATGCCTGCAGCCAGAGCGCCCCACAGCCACGCAGGCCGGCAAGCCCATGCTCAGGCTGTGGGGCTGAGCTGTCTTCCTAACCTGCGACTGAGGGCTTTGTCTACAGGCCCCACCCTGGTCTGGGGCATTTTGTTTGAGCGACAGGCAGAGAGCAAGAGGGCTGTGTGACTGCCGAGAGAAGGGCAGCCTGCCTCAGACCAGAGCCAACGAGCCTACCACTGCCACTCTGACCACCTACCCCCCCCCCTCCCGGGCCCAGCTCCCTATTCACTCACAACCTCTTGGGTCTGAAGGACCAGTGACAGCAGAGGAGAGAAGTCATGGTGACTGGACACCCAGGGGGTCTGGGATCCCGCAGGGCTGGGGGACCTCCCTTCGCTCCTGAGCCTCAGTTTCACCGTCTCAGAAATGGGCACCCATGATGCTGCTTCTGGAGCTGGATTGTGGTGTGAGTTCAATGGGAATGCAGAGAGGTAACAACAGCATCTGGAGCCAAAGTTCAAGGCCTAACCCTGCCCTTGGTGGCTCGGAGACCTTGCGCAGATTCTGCCTCCCCAGAGCCTCCGTCTCCTCTTCCCTACAACGGGACTAATAAATCTCCCTCACAAAGACACCAGGAGTAAATGAGAGGATCTGTGTCTGCCAGCATCTGCCTGGCACACAGTGCTTGCAGCTCTGGGGCCTCAGAGGCCGTCCTGTCCACCTCCTGCTGGGCTGCGCTTGCGCCCTCTGTCCAGACCTAAACTGATGGCGGGAGCCTTGGGACGTGGCCGACCTGTCCCCTCCTCACCACGACAGCCCTATGGCCCTGTGCGCCGTGAATACCTCGCCAGTCACTCCTCCTGCCTCTCGCCCTTCCCCAGCCAACCACCAGCCTCGGCTGAGCAGTGGACAAGCAGATGATCGAACTAGTTTACACTCAGGAGTGAGACCAAAGGCCTCAGGGTCAGTGCAGTTTGTGGGTGCTGCCTCAGAGGAATCTCTAATTGGGGGGGTTCAGGGACATGTGACTAAGTGCAGAAGTTGAAGGGTGATTTTACAAGTACAGACTTGGGATAGAGGAGGTGACACACCCAGGGCCCAACTCCGGGGGATCTCAGAGCACCACCAGCTCCCCATCTGGCCACTTTTCACAGCTGAGTGGAAAAATGTCCCTCAGGGCCCAGTCATGGGACAATGGACGGGAAGTCCACCGTGTGCGTGTGCCCACTAGCCTGTAACTCCACAGCCTGCCAGACCCTGCTCTGTGTCCTCCTGAGTCATCTCTACTGGCCGCCTCCCGGCACCACTGCCTCTGGCCCACGGAGGCCCACGGAGGCTGCAGGTGGTGAGAGAGGTTGGGCTTTCCCCTCGCCTCCCAAGCCCCCCACTCTCTCCCATCCCAGCAGGCACCGGGGTGTCCGTCCAGTGTCCCTCCTGTTGCAGACAGGTGGCCAGCTTCCACAGCACCCCCCCTCTCTCCACAGCGGGCCTCGGATCATACACGGCGCTGGCGAGTGCTGGGCTCTGGCCCAGCCTCTGCAGAGTGCTGCCAGCCTCCTGTCTGTGTGCTGCCACATCAGGGAGCCAGCCCCTGTCCGAGCTGTGTGACCCCAGGCGGCTGTCTGCCTGCTCTACGCAGGCAGATCTGGGCTTAAGACCTGACTTGGCCCCAGGGGAAGGTAACCCCCATCAGGGTGCCATGCTCCCTCATGACACAGGCCTGCAAAAGGGGCCTGGTGTGGCGGAAATTCCCGGGGCACGGACTGTGGCCACGCCAGGGGTCCTGACCAGAAGCTACTGTGACAAGCTCGGGAGGGAGTTAGAAAGCGGGGTGTGTAATGAGGGGGTACCACATTCTCCAGAAGAGTTCTGGTGGGGGCAGAGGGGACTTGACCCTGAAGGACAGCGGCGAGGACAGGAGCCATCATGTGAGCACAGGGGCTGTCCAGCAGCCCTCAGGGGAAGAGTGTCCCTGCCAGAATTGCTGGTATGAGTGATCCCAAGGATCCGCACCCAGATGAGGGTCTTGGCCCCACCCCCAGAGGACCCTGGGGGAGGGGTCTGCAGGGAGGGGACTGCAGGCCTGCAGGCCTTCCAGGCTGCCAAGTGGGTGGGCTGCCCACAGATGAATCGTGGCTGCATCTTCGCTGCCACAAAATGTTCTCCTCCTCTAAATATGGATCAGCCAGCTCTAAATGGAACTCTGAATTAATCACTAATGGACTCAAAAGTCAAAGCCATTTGAAAAACTCACACATTCTGCTGCCAGAAATCCAGCAGCGAAGCTGTGGCTGCCTTCCACACCTAGCCCAGCCTGGGGAGGGGCTGCCAGGGCCCCCGCAGGCCTTGGGGCAGGGAGGCGGCCAGGCCTGCCGCCCAAACCCTGCGGGACCTTGGGCCTGCCAGGCCCCTCCTGGGTCCCTGTTTCCCTCTAACTCAGTGACCATCAACTGGGTCCCATCTAAGAATCACGGGGAGAATTGGAAATGATCTACACCCACCCTGAGGTGCGGGTTCTGGGCTTGGGGGGGAGGAGGCCCAGGCCATAGGTTCTGTAAGTCCGTGTTTCGTTACATGGGCGGCACTGAGAACAAGGCTGCCTGCGAGCTGGATTCGCACCCTCTCATCCCGGCCTGGGGTCGGGGACCTCACCTCACCCCCTCTCCTCGGGGGCTACAGCCCTTTGCCGGGTGGCATCACCTGCAGGTGTTTTGTGAATGGCCCTATCTTTAGTCTGAAAATGTGGCTTTCAGTCCCACGATCTGTTATTTCCAAGCAGTGTGACCTTGGGCGAACCACTTCACGTCTCTGTGCCAGTGTCCCCATTGCGAAAAGGAAATAATGGCGCGAAAACGAGGCTGTGTGGTGCTGCTGTAGCTCCGACCGTCTGATTGTTCTCAGAACGACTCTGTGGGGCGAGCGCCGTTACCCCCACATCGCACTATTTTACAGGTGTGGACGGGGGCTCCTGAGGGTGCAGAACTGGTCACAGAGACAAATCTGAGCTGCGGACACTGACCTTTGGCTTTGGTGAGCCAAGGGGCAATCTCCCCCCGAGCTGATCTGCCAGTGCCCAGGGCACCAGGAGCTAATGTTCAGACAGAATGGTGAGACAGAGAGGGTAGCGGTCTCCATGGTGCCAAGAGGAAAGGCTGGGCCCTCCTGGACAAGGGCTAAGGGTGCAGCTTCAGGCCCCCACACCAGCCCCATTCCCAGCCCACACCCACAGCCATTCATGCTGGTCCGGACTGCTCAGGCTCAGTCAGACCAGGCTCCAGCCCTGGGGCCTGCGGAAGCCACATGCCCTTTCTTTGGGTCAGTTTCCAGCAGCAGGGCCTGCAGCTCCTGCTGCAAACAGAGCCCAGAAAGGCCTGCGTGTGAGCCCATGGAGACATCCAGGAGCCCGGGGCTCCTAGCAGAGTTCCTCCAGGGGTGAGGGGCTTGCCAGGAGCTGTGGCTGAACAAGCTCTGCTCTTTCAGAGACTGACAAGACGGGGAAAAAAAATGTAGAAATGTAGAAGGGACAGGCCCCTTCTCTGAGAGCCAAGCCCGGGAAGGGGACTCCAGACATGCGTAAACTTTAAGCGTGCGTGTGTGTGCGCGTGTGTGCGTGCTCATCGGTGGATAGGTGGAGGTACACACGTACCCGCAGGGCGCTGTGGGTGTGTACACACAGGCGGGCAAACTTCCAAGAGTGTAGCCCATTCACGCATTCCGTAGCGCTTCCCCCCATAGGAACATCTGTGCTGCTCTGGACATGTTTGGAGCTGTCATCTTGACTAGTTCTGCCTAAGGCCCTCGAGCTGTGCTTCATTCCTGTTTAGAGTCCACGAGCATCTCTTCTGTGGGTGGGCCGTAGCTCACGCCCCCAGCCCCCACCACGAACCTAAGTTGCCTGTGGTTTGCAGTGCTGCGCCTGACGCCACATGAAACACTGTGCACAAAGAGCCTGCCCACAGGGAGGCAAATCCACAGGAGAAGGAAGGTGCACATTGTCGACCTGGGAAGGTCGATGTAGGGAAGGGTTTCCTAGAAGACTAGATGGCTCTCTGCACGGAGGGGAGGCCCGGGAACAGGCGAGAGAGACATTTGCTTGTCACTTAGGACATTCGGCACTATGTTTTAGCCATTGGATGACCTATTACTTTGAAATGTTCATTTTTATTCAAGTGTTACTTTTTAGAAAATATCAATGGGGTTATATGGGTATTAAGAGGTGAGTCATTTGGAGTGTTGTCATAATTTTCTATATTAAAAAAAAATGAGTGAATAGTAATTTTCAAACGGTGTGGCGCCATCACTGCCTCTGGCCACCAGAGCCCCCGGGGCCCGCCATCTCTCTGAGGGTGAGGCTTGCAGCTAGGCATTGCCCTGCCCCAAAATAGGATGGGATGTAGGACTTCGAGGCCTGGCATGGTGGCTAGGGAGGGGAGCCCCAGCAGAGACGCTGCAGGGAGTGGTCCCAGGCCTGAGGGTCTAAAATGCTCTCCTGACCCCACCCCCACCCAGCATGTCCTGGTGAGCCCCTGGACTCCTGTGCCAAGTTCTCGTTGGCCCTGGCCAGGCCAAGCCCTCATACGCCTCACACCACTCACTCTCTCCATCCTCCCGGGAGGGGTTTCTTGAACAGTACTTTGGTCTGGAGCTTCCCAACTGGACAGAGCCCTCTTGAGGACAGGGCCTGTGCCCTACCCACTGTTATCCCCCCAGCGACTTCACATCCCCCCAGTGTCTGCCACATGCCAGGCACCAAAGAGAGGTTGGAGGAGGAGGGATGATGAGTCAGCCAGGGAACAGCCCACATGGGCCTCAGACCTGCCTTTAAGTTCACTCCTTCTCTTCCTCTCACCCCAGCGAGGTCCTGTCCACCTGCGTTATTCTACAGGAGCCCTGCCTTGGGTCCCACAGCTGCCTGAGGTTCACTCAACTCCGGTCAGGCTGGGAATCACGACCTCGAGCCCTCGGACTCAGCCCATCTGTGCCCATTGGTGTCCAGGGCCCTGTGACTCTGAGCAGGGACTGCGCTCAGTGGCCAGAGTGGGGCTGCACCAGGGAAGGACCCCAGCTCAGGGAAAGGAGGGGGCCCCTCTACTCACCACAGGATCTCGTTTCTGGTCAGGAAGGTCAGGGCCTACAAGAAACCACAAAGTGACCTGGCCACTCCATGCAGCCTCCTGGCCCCCAAGGAGTGGAGAGCTTGGGGACAGGCCAGGGAAAGCCCACGCTGTCTCCCCACAGCCAGGGAAATGAGGCCCCCCCAGGCCCTGACAGTTGCTGGTGGCCTGGGGAAGGGACATGCTGGCACAGAGCTGGAGAGGGGATCAGCGACAAGACCAAACCCTGGGCTCAGGAGCAAGAGGCAGAGCAGAGGAGTCTCAGAGGACTGGCCTGCACCCCAAGGATGCAGGTTTAGCAGAGACAGGGGCCTCAGGCAAGAGTTGTCCTACAACCCCACTGCCCCAGGAGACCCCCATCTCTGCCCAGAACCCTGGTCTGCCCACCTGGTATTCTTCCAGGTCCTCCCAGTGCATCTGGTGCCTCAGACACTGCCCCATGCCCACTCCACTCCTCTCTGCCAGCAGCAGAATCTCAGCCCAAGGGCTCACCAACTGGGGCCTGGTATGAGCAGCCAGGCGATCTGGTTGCCATGGTCACCTACATTCCACCTTCTGCCCATTCTCCCTGAGCTCCAGAGTGGGCAAAGAAACAGGTTCTTTTGGTTCCCAACACCAAAAGACATGACCCCCCACCCCACTGGACCCCCAAACAACAAAGAGAAAGGCAGCCAGCTGTGGAGTTGAGAGCAGACTGTTGGCTTAAGAGTCGCCCTCAGTTCCTGTCCCATCTGCCAGATGCTAACGAGACATGTGACCTTGGGTGACTCATTCAACCTCTCTGTATCTTAGTTTCCTCAACTGTAAAATAGAGATGATGATCGTGAAGCTTTGAGGATGATCTGAGTCAACACAGGCGCAACGCTTCGTACGTCATACGTGCTCAGTCAACGTTAGCTGGTAGAACCACGTCCCAAGCCCTGGGCCAGGATTGAGGGGGCGGACACACACAGGTCCTGACCTCAAGAAGCGACCCAAAGAGCAGACAAGATCATTGCACCCCATCAGTCTGAGCAGAGGCAGAAGCACAGCCAAATTAGGAGCATTAGAAGAGGGTCTACAAACTGGATGGAGGGAGCACCCCAGAGCTAAGTTTGGGTGTCGAGGAGAGTCAGAGTCTGATGGAACCACAGAGTGGAGCTGTGGGGTCCCCACTAGCCCTGGAAGTAAATGCCCCAGTGCCTCTCACCCCAACAGCTCTCCTACTGTGACGGAGAGCGGGGTGGAAATCAATATGGAAAGACCGAAAAGTGGCCCATCCCAGCCGTCAGGGTTGCAGGCCGGGCGAGGCCTCTGGAAACCCTCTCCAGCCCCTGCCTCCCGGAAGGCCTGAGTGTTCACCCTCCCCTAGCTGCTCCCTCCACTTGCTCTCCCAGTAAACAGCCAGGCCTTCCTGAAGGAGCTCGTTTATATCTCTGGAGGTGCAGCTGCTCATTTTTCTTTGTCAGTCCTGCACGAAGACGGAGAAGAAACCCAGGAGCCCCCAGGCACAGAAACAGGTGGAGTGTCCACAGTGAGCCTGACACAGATGTCTCACTCACACACACACAGGGAGGTGGAGCAGATGTCATAGGCGAAACAGTGCAGTCTTGAGCATGTAGAAGATTTTAGATCGCCGAGCAGGAAGTCTTCTGTAGCTGGCGTCATCCAAGGGGCTGAGATACAGATAGCATATATGATGGCGGAGGACATGACGTCTAAGAGAGCAGTGAGGAGTAACCTCCACGCCACTGGGGACGCTCTCAGCAGACTCCATGGTAGAAGGTGGCGCTTTCTAGACTCCCATCCCTGAGGGGTCTGACGGGAAATGGTGTGGGGCTGGCACTTTGGCAGGTGAGACCAACAGGGGTTGGGCAGTAAATGACTGGCTGCTGGCCAGGTAAGCCAATGGTGAGGGGGGTGGCCGTGGAGAAGCCACTTGTCCCGTGAGGTTTTGGCTTGGACCCTGGTTTCTGCTCAGCAGTTGATTCCTGGCCACACGCAATCAGTCATTCCTCTCTCTCTCCCCTTACTCCCTATGTAAATAAATCCCGTTATTGTTGTTTCTCCCCTTGTGTCTGCCTTTGGGTCCTGTCCTACAATTGTAAGCCCACTAGTGAGAACCCACCTGTGATCACGCCTGGTCCCCCACCAGGTTTGTCCTATTTCATCTTGTGTGAGTCATAAAACGTCTAAGCCTCAGTTTTCTCATCTGTAAAATGGAGGCAATAAATCTTTACAGGTTAGTGCAAGGATAAACTATAAAGCTGTTATTTAGCAAGTTTCCTGGCACACAATGAGTTGTCAATACTGGGTGTATGGTAATGCTTTTAAAATTGGGTCTGGAAGAAAGGGTAGAACTTTAGAAGGCAAAGTCAGTAATTCAGTCCCATCTTTTGCTAAGCCCTTTCAGCTTCTACTCTTTTTTTTTTTTTTTAAGATTTATTTATTTATTTGTGCATACAGAGCTGGGGTACAAGCCAGAGGTGCAGGAGTGGCGAGAGGCTTCACCAAAGACAGAGCGGGGAGCAGAACAGGCAGATCGAGGAAGTACACTGCTGAGGGGAGCAGCAGGCGGGTCAGGAGAGGTCTGCCGCACCTTGTGGTCACCTCCGGGGCAGGCGGAGATCGAACTCATGCTGAAGTGGCTTTAGCTTCTTAATGCTGCGCTTTAACCCGCTGCGCCACCGGGGAGGGCCTCAGCTTCTACTCTTATTTATCGAGCAGTGTCTCACTGCCAAGTGTGTCCATACAACTCACCTGCCAGGCTCACAGTGTGACTCTGTGAGGTCAGCAGGCTTTGTCCCTTTACTCTGGAGAAGGCAGGAGCCAGTGAAGTTCACTGTTGCTGGGGTCACTTGGCTGGGAAGTGGGCAAGGGAGAACCAGAAGCCTGGATTGCACTTGCCGCCTGGGGGTCCCCACAGTGCAGGCGGAACCATGGGTCATACCCCCAAGGCTGCTTCCTTCTCCAGTCTTGCTCACTTCTGCCACATGGAGGGGAAGTGGCAGCTTGGCACTGCTCACGGGATACTTGAACCATGAACAGAAGCTCCCTGAAGCCCAGAGCTTTGAGCTGCTTCTTCCGCTATTGTTGAGCTAAGCCATGGAGCGTAAGAGACAAGGCCTGCCCTAGGGGAACTGACATGAAGGGAAAGAGACCCTTAGATGGCCCAGGGTACCCCCAAAGACAGTCATCAGGGGGGAGGGTGCTGAAGGGGGTAGGCAGAGGGCCTGCCTAGGAAGTGCCATGCGAGCAGAGATCTGAGTGGCAAGGACAGGTGAGGTAAACTGAGAAGGCGGAGACCTTCCAGGTCCAGAAGGCAAGGTAGCAGCCGGAACTTAGTGACACTGTTTGGTTTTCATTGTATTTGTTTATATGGTCTCTTCCATTTCGTAAATGATACAGCATATGTGACATAAAACTTCCTTTATAAATATATCTGTTTAATGAAACAGGGACTCACATAAAGGAAAATAATAATTATCCAGGTGGTAAAGGAATGTGCCAGAAATCACTCTCCTCCCATTTCTGTCATGAGCAAGATTTGCAGAATCTGCTCCCCTCCTTTCTCCTCTAGTTTTCATCCCTCCACATTCTCTCTCAGCACCAGCAACTCCTTCCCACCCCCCACCCCAACGCACGTACACACACAAAGCATGAACTCTGATTTAATTCTGGAAAGGGTTTTCATTGGTTCCTACAAATAACAATGGTAACAATATCACCTTATATTTGCATATCCTTTTGTAATTCCAAATGCTTCTCTGTACCTTTTTACTTTCCCAAGAAACAAAAGCCTCAGATCCTTTAAAAAGGAAGACAAATCCCTTTATATTTCTGCCGTTAACTGCACCTCTACAGCCTGCTCCAACCTAGTAAGTCTCCCCGACTCTTCTTCACAGGGATTTGAAAAGGGTGTCACTGGGGTGTGACAGAGCCCTGGACAGGGCCGGTATCCTCCCCCTCCAGGATCTGCCCTTGCAAGGACCCTCTGGAGGGTGTGGGGGGTGGGAAGGACACTGAAGAATTATTTGGCAGCAAACATGAATGCAGTGTTGATATGTAACATGACCTGGATGAAGCTTGAAAACACGACTCTAAATGAAAGAAGCCAGTCACGAACGGCAAAAGGCCACATATTTTAAGATCACATTTATATGAAATGTCCAGAATCGACAAAGCCATAGAGACAGAAATAGATTAATGGTTGTCAGGAGCCTGGGGGAAGGGAGGCTGAAGGTTACTCCTAATGGATAATTCTTGGGGTGATAAAATATTCCCGAATTAGATGATGGTGACAGTTGTACAACTCTGTGAATATACCAAAAAATATTGGAGTGGATTGTGTGGTATATCAATTGTATCTTAATACACCTGTTATTAAAAATAATTCCAGAGGGGGTTTGTGTCCTAACTCCGTGCCTGAGACATAGTCGATGCCCCACAAATATTGCTAGAAGAACGCGTAAGTGAGGCGTTATATACTGAAGTGCTTCCGGGGTTTCGTGAGCTATGAGTCCTGCAGCCAGGACTCTCCACCTGCTGCCTAGTGGGTGCTGGGGCCGGTCACTACCCTGATTTCCCCAGACGTGGCAGGACACCAGGTCCGTGTCAAGGGCAGGTTCTTGTCTGGGTCTGGCCTCCGGGGGAGGCTGAGGGATGTGCCTATGTTTGGAGCACATGGAGCTTCCATGCAGACGAGGGCTCTCCAGGCAGTGTCGAGGAGCAAGGAGCTCCAGTTAGGGTGCAACTCAGCCTGTCACCGACTACCTGGCGTTGGGGATGTCACAGGAGAGTCACTGTCCTCTGTAAGACACCCCTCCCTTGAGACACCAGCTGCAAGGTCTGGGGTTCTCAGGCCATCCTTCACCATGACCAGTGGCCACTGTCCCGGTAGGCTGGGCTCATTTGCTAGAATGAGTCACTGAACTCAGGGAAGTGCTGTGCTTGTGACTGCAGTTTTATTACAAAGGTCACAAATCAGGACCCCCGAAGGCTGAGGCAAAGAGCAGGAGACCTCAGAGGGTCTCAGAGGCATCCTGGGGTCCTGTTGCCTTCCTGCTACATCAAGCTAGGAAGAACTCACCCGAGCCCTGTATCCAGAGCTTTTATTAGGGTTTTATGATGAAACCATTGATTGAGCGACTCATCAGTCATGTGATTGAGCTTCATCCCTCTCTCCCTCCCCTCCCCTCCCCAGAGGCCAGGTTGACATCACCATCTGACTCAGACCCTCTGATCACAGGCTGGTCTTCTGGCGAGGCAGCCCCCATTCTGAGTCACCTCATCAGTATGGACTCAGCGGAGGTCCTAGCAGGCCACCATGAATACCAAAGACGCCTATGATTTGGGAAATCCCCAAGATTTAGAGGTTACCTCCCAGGAACCGGGGACAGAAGCCACCCATATTCTTCTTTATAAGCACGGGGAAATCTCGGGTGGGGAGGTGCAGCTAGAGAAACTGAGATCCCCATCCAACCCTTTAAAAGAGACCCCCATTGT